CCTCAGCCTTCCAAGTAGCCGGAATTACAGGCATGCGCTACCATGCCCAGCTGATTTTTCAATTTATTGTAGAGATGAGGTCTCGCTGAGTTGCCCAAGTGGGTCTCAAACCCGCAGGCTCAGGCAGTCCACTCACTTCAGCCTCCCAAAGCGCAGAGTGAGACTCCAACTCAAAAAAAAAAAAAAAGGAAAAAAGAAATAGGATTTTGGCTGAGCTATACCATAAATAAATAAAAATTAGCCAGGCGTGGTAGCACATACCCAAAGTTCCACCTACTTGGAAGGCTGAAGCAAAAGGATCGCCGGATCCTGGCAGGTTGAGGCTACAGTGGCCATGAGTGTGCCACTGCACTCCAGCCTGGGTGACAGAGTGAGACTCTTTTAAAAAAAGGATTTTTTTCTTTCTTTCTTTCTTTTAAAATTCTAGTGCCCAGTACAGGATCAGACTGGCAATAACATTTGCAAGAAAAAGAGATTATTACTGCCCCAGACTTCACCCCACTAACCAGGCCTGTCCACTCAGACTCCTAGAGGGCATAGCTGGTGTTAGAAACTCACTCCCTCACTCTACAGACGCCTGTGTGAAGTGAGAGTCGAATACACTCCCTGTGGTCTGGGCTCAACCAGCTAAAGAACAACAAAAACTTCAGAACCCAGTCTATGTCCTCAATCCCTTTGCCATCTGGCCCTCTGTGAAGCCCGAGTCTGCAGCTGTGGCAAGTAATCCCCTTTGCCTTGTCCCCTGGGGAGTTATCCCCTTTGCTCAGCTTCCTTACCTGTTTTCCTCCTCAGGCCTGTTTCTGCATTGGAACTGCCCACCCGAGCCTGCAGAGGTAGCATGGGAGAAGGTGTGACAAATTGTGACAGAAAGGGAACAGACAGAAGGTTCTCAGCTAGCAGCTTCAACCTGTGCCCTAATCCTACACACTGGCTCCTTAGACAGTGGCTGAGACATTCCTGAAACCTCTCCAGTGCCCTGAGGACCTTTAAACCTTGGACTAGGATGCCTGCGACCCAGGCTAGCCTATAGTACTAAAGTGCTAAGTTGAAGTGTTCAGAGTATACGGAGATCTAAATAATAAAGGTATCCACGATCTGCATCAGCTTGCTGGGGTGTCAGTGGGAAGGAAAAACGATGAGACTCCACAAAATACTTGATCATAAACCATTTATTACCAAACTAATTTATTTATCAGAATTCAAAACTTTCTGTAAGATGCTTCCCTGGCCTGGAGATCCAGCTTCTTAAGCCTCAAACTCAAATTCGAAGTATTGTGGGTCGAAGTAGTGGATGCGGACATAACCATCTTCCCCGCCACTGCTGTAGCTGGAAAAAGATAGCCAGAGACCAGTCAGATGCCCGCTCTGGAGGCAGGATAAGAAAGAGGCAAGACCCAACCCAGGTTTAGCTCTGCTTGCTTCCCTGGGGCCCTACCTCTTGCCATCGGGATGGAAGGCAACACTGTTGATAGGTCCAAAGTGGCCCTTGACTCTCCCAAACTCTTCTTCAAAGGCCAAATGGAAGAACCTGAGGAGAAAGGGTAGAGAGAAGGGACATAATTCTGTCTCATTCCAAAATACTTCGGAGGTCACTCCCCAAATGCAAACTCTATCACAGAAAACAAAGCAGGGGAACTTAGATAAGTGGAAATGAATGTGGCCAGGCCTGGTGGCTCACACCTATAATCCCCGTGAGAGTCCTTGGGAGGCCAAGGTGAGAGGACTACTTGAGCCTACAGGTTTGAGACCAGCCTGAGCAACTTGGCAAGACCGCATCTCTACAATAAATAAAAAAATAAGCCAGGTGTGGTGGCATGTGCTGGTAGTTCCAGCTACTTGGAAGGCTGAGGCAGAAGGGTTGCCTGAGCCCAGCAGGTCGAGACTGCAGTGGCCGTGAGCATGCCACTGTACTCCAGCCTGGGCAACACAGTGAGACTCCAACTTGGAAAAAAAACAACAAAAAAAGAGGAAGTGAATGTGACCCAAGTCAGGGGAAGACTGAACCAGAACACCTAGCTGGATACACAGTTAACGTGTACTGAGTACCTGCTACATGAGAGGCAGTGCTCCAAGAGCTAAACAAATAGTAATTCATTTACTTACACTGCACAATTTTATAAGTTAAGTATATTATCACTGTCCCATTATACGTTCGAGGAAAGTTGGGCATAGAGAAATACAACGATGTGTCCATGGCCTACGAATTCATGCCCTTAACAACTGTATTACACACTTGTCACAGGAGGGCCACACGTTTGGTTGTACTTCCTAGTAGCCAATATGGCTTTTTTCATCACGAAAGACACCCTCCATGGAACTGCAACCTGGAAGCACTCTCTTGCCCTTTACCTGGCCTCAAATTTGCCAATCCTGGTGGAGGTTGTGGTTACATCCATGGCTTCCTGACCACCACCCAGCACCACCTGGAGGGAAGAAGAAACTCCAGATGGGTCCAAAGGGCAGCCAAGTCCATTTTCAGTTTCCCCCACCCTATGTATTTTGAATGTTTCCCCCAGCACAAGGGGAGGACACCAAAGACGGGATGAACAGAAGACTTCCACTACCTCCTGCCTAGTGTTCTGTAGCTACTTGATTGTTCAGCCCTGTCACTGCTCTGGGAATTTCCTCTCTTCCTGACACCAGTTCCCCACAGTGTTCATAGCCTAACTGCTAGACAAATATCTAGATCTTAGAAGCTTTCTGAGGTTTCAGCAAGAAGGCTGGTGCAGTGCTTACATGATCGTAATTGGGGGAGAGGGCAGCTGAGTTGACGGGACGCTCTGTTCGGAAGGTCTTCTGATGTTCAAGAGTTGTGGAGTCAAACAGCTGCAGAGAGAAGGCAGGGGGAGAAGTCTGTGAGAGAAGCCTTCTTGGAGTGAAGCCAGGCCAGTCGAGGGAGTGCAGCAGGAGGGAGGGAACAGCCCTGCAGACCCCTTACCCAGGCTCACCTTGGCTGTGTTGTCCTTGGATGCAGTAACAAACATGGTCATGTCCCTGGATAACTGGATGTCATTGATCTGCCGGGAGTGCTCCTTAACATTTACCAGCACCTCTCCAGACTAGGGAAAGAGGAAGAGTGAGACCCTGACAGGCCCCAACCCTGACTAGCCTCACTGTTCCCCAGAAACCCAGGTACCCATACTAGGAATCTGAGACCACCTGGACTTTACCCTTCCCCCGATCTAATCAGCTCTTGACTAAGAATCTCTTGACTCAGTCTGGTGTCCTACATCCTGTGCCTATTGGCTAGTTCAGACCCATCCTCCAAACTGTAGCCTGCAAAAGCCCTTTCAAGAGAAAGTCTCATCAACAACCCTTTACAGGTTCCCTGGAGGAAAATCAAAACTGGACCTCCTGACACTTAAAGACCTTTGAAATCTAGTCCCAGTCCACATTCCCCGAGACTACTTCCAAAAGAATCCATGTACTTTTTTTTTTTTTTTTGAGTTGGAGTCTCACTCTGTCTCCCAGACCGGAGTGCAGTGGGACGCTCCCGGCCACTGCAGCCTTGACCTGCTGGGCTCTGGTGATCCTTTCGCCTCAGCCTTCCAAGTAGCTGGAACCACAGGAGCGCACTACCATGCCTGGATAATTTTTTTGATTTATTGTCTCACCAAGTTGCCCAGGCGGGTCTTGAACCCGCGGGCTCAGGCAATTCACTCACCTCGGCCTCCCAAGGCGTGGGATTACAGGCTGAGCCACAGAGCCTGGCCTATGTACTTTCTTAACTCTGGGCCTTTGCTTTTGCTCTCCTCTTGCCTGTGCAATGTCCTTTCCTTCCTACCTGAAGGTCCATTTGTTTTTCACAGTTTAATGTACAAACTACCTCCTCTGTGACACTTCTGCACATGGTTGAGACCTCTATGGTGGCACAATTCACAATCGGACTCGTGTGCCAGCTGTTTGCAAGCCTGTCTCCCCTTGGGGCAGGGACCATGTCTGATTCACCTCTTTGTCGTAGGAACCCAGCACAAGACCTGGCACTCAGTGGCGGCAGGAAAATGCTTATTTGTGATCCTTATTAACATGTCACTGAGTACTTTGTGACAAGTTTTTCAAACACCTGATATCATTTGATCCTTGAAACAGTTGACAGATAAAAAAAGTTATACAACTTGCCCAAGATCACACAGATAGAAAATGGTGAAATCAGCCGGGCTTGGTGGCTCAGCCTGTAATCCAGTGCTTTTGGGAGGCTGAGGTGAGTGGATTGCCTGAGCCCGCAGGTTTGAGACCCACCCGGGCAGCGAGACCTCATCTCTACAATAAATCAAAATTCAGCCGGGCGTGGTAGCGCATGCCTGTAATTCCAGCTACTTGGAAGGCTGAGGTGGAAGGATCGCTGGAGCCCAGCAGGTGGAGGCTGCGGTGGCCGGGAGCGACCACTGCACTCGAGTCTGGGCGACAGAGTGAGACTCCAACTCAAAAAAAAAAAGAAAATGGTGAAATCTGTATTTGAATTCTGCCCCCCTTGCTCTTTTATTTTTTGGATACAGGGTCTCATTCTGTCCTAGACTGGAATGCAGTGGCCCAATCATAGCTCACTGGAACCTTGAACTCCTGGGCTCAAGCAATCCTCTCACTTCAGCCTCTCCGTAGCTAGCACTACAGGCCATGCCACCATGTCCAGCAAATTTTTTAAGTTTTGGAAGAGACAGGGTTTTGCTATGTTGCCCAGGCTAGTCTTAAACGGGTCTCCAACCTTGGCCTCCCAAAGTGCTAGAGTAACAGGTATGGGCCACCATGTGAGGCCCCACCCTTGCTCTTAACCACAGTGCTATTGTGCCTCTTGTAAGGAATCATTCTGGTGGGCTCAGGCCCCCACAGGCCCCTTACCTTGGCACTATACTGGTTGAGCTCACCACTCTCATGGCCTGCGATGATGCACTCCCCCAGGGGTCCCCAGACAGCACTGGTGATCTTGGAGTCATTGCAAGGAATCTTCATGTAGGGCTCGTTGTTGTCTGTATGGGGCAGCAGACGTCAGGCCCTGGCTTAGAGCTGCACCCTTACCTGAATCCCAGTCTGGCCCCAACCCTCACCAATCTGGCTCGGATCCCGCAGGTCAAAGAAGCTCACAAAGCACTGGTAGCCCATCTGCTTGTCCGTGGAGAACATGATGATGTTGCCCCCAAAGTCAAAGCCACAGGTCCGGACAGCTGAATTGGTCTTGAGTAGGGCCAGCTGCTTCCCTGGAGACAGGAAGAGTCTGGGCTATCCCTTGCCCGCTGCTCCTGTAGGGAGGACACCCTACACCTGCCTATCATCCCGCCTCACTGTTTCTCCTGTTCCAGTAACCTCACCCACCACTCTCCTCTTCCTCACTGCTGTGGCTCATTTCTTTCGAGGAGTCTCTCTCAGGCTAGAGTGCAGTGGCACATTCACAGTCACTGCAGCCTCGGTCTGCTGGGCTCAGGTGATCCTTCTGCCTCAGCCTTTCAAGTAGCTGGAACTACAGGCACTTACCACCATGCCCAGTTAATTTTTTTGTGTGTGTTTTATTGTAGAGACGAGGTCTCACCAAATTGCCCAGGATCAGGAGGCTTGCAAAAGCGTCCTCGTTTGCCAGTCTCAGCCTTACCCTGGACTCTCCAAGTTAAGCTCCAACCCAGAAAAACAGTAGCTTTGATGTCCTGTCCATCGAGCCCCTAGACTCAGGCAGTCTTCTTGCCTCCGCCTCCCAAAGTGCTAGGATTACAGGTTTGAGTCACCATGCCCAGCTGGCTCATGTCTTTTATTAACTTTTTCCCGCAGTCCTCCCTCAGACATCCTGCTAGCTGTGATCCTGCTCCGAGTAGATTGCATTATGTCTGTCTGCCCCTCAGACTGTACTCCTCCACAGCGAAGACCTGGTCTGATTTCTCTGCATGTTTCCAGTGCCCAGCATAGACCTGGGATAGAATTGGACACTTAGTAAATATTTACTGAATGGCCTGTTTTCAGTTTCAGCTCTTCCAGTGCTTCCCACTGCTCCCTGACCTTGCTAGATAGAAACAGATCACTCTTCCCTGTGTAAGGACTTACACAGCATGCCAATTCCTATAGAACAAAGCCAAGTTCCTCAGGTTGGCATTCCCGGTCTGTTCTGGCCTTAGCCTGCCTCTCCAGCCTCATCTTTTCCACTCCCACAAGAAACAGGAACTCTGGTCAGTTAGATGACATGGACATGACACTCTCTCTGTTTTCATTCCTGCCTGTGCCAAAGTGATGATGTCGTTCTCATCCTTCAAGCCTCAGTTCCTATGACATTTGCCTTGGGAAACCTTCCCAGGGTGCTCCCACCCCCCTCAGTTGCCACCCTCTGGCCTCCACAGTACTCTATGCTTCCACTAACATGGCTTATGTCTAACTGTAGTGTACTCTTCTCATCATCTTACTGTCTCATCTCTTTTTTCCTAGACTGGGAAATATCTCTGGATTTATCTCTCTCTCTCCAGGACCATTTGCTCAAACAGGTACACTTTAAGTGCTTAGTATTTGCCGAAAAAGCAAATGACCCAACTTACCTGTTTCACAGTCCCAAAGACGACAGCTGTTGTCAGCTGAGCCAGTGAGCACATGCTTGGTGTCCCCTGAAGAAGTTGTTAAGAAGTATGACAGAGTTCACTTGAGCCCTTGTCCTCTTGGGAGGCAACTGAATCATCTCTCTGTTCAGCCCCAAAGAGCCTTTCTTCCTCTCTCTTACCTCAGAGTATTCTAATCTTATCCAGAACTGGAACTTGTCCTGAATGTGTCCCCAACCAGTGAAGACACTGGGAAGTAGGAGGTATTACTCCCCAGGCCCACAATAGCATGCCAAACTCCCTACTTCCAACTCAGCCTTCCTACTGTTGGCAGATTCTGGGAGTATGAACTCAGAGCAAAAACAAGGATACAGTCGGCATCCACACACCACACAGCTCCAGTATGGCCCATGTAGGTGCCGAGCCTCTCACCGTTCACAGAGTACCATACATTGACAGTCTGGAAGAATCAAACCACAGGATGGCACACATCCCAGTAAGAGCAGTGGCCTTTTACTTCACCCCAGGAACCCATAGTAGCCTCTAGTCCTCTCCTGATCATCTCTTGGGAAATAGCAGGGAGCTGGTAAAAAGACCAACTCCTGGATTCTCCTCTCTTCCTGAAGGAAGTGACAGGGATAAGGAGGCTTGCAAAAGCGTCCTTATTTGCCAGTCTCAGCCCCACCCTGGACTCTCCAAGTTAAGCTCCAGCCCAGAAAAACAGCAGTTTGATGTCCTGTCCATCATCTCCCTGTATGATGGTGCTTCTCCCCTCTAAACCTCAGTTTTCCCATCTTGAAAATGACCAGGATGGCTGGGCACGGTGGCTCAAGCCTGTAATCCCAGCACTTTGGGAGGCTGAGGCAATAGGATTGCCTGAGCCCAGGGATTAGAGACCAGTCTAGGCAACTTGCTGATAATTCATCTCTACAATATATCAAAAAATTAGCAGGGTGTGGTAGCTCATGCTTGTGGTTCCAGCTGCTTGGAAGCCTGAGGTAGAAGAATCACCTGAGCCCAGCAGGTCAATGCTGGAGTGGCTCTAAGTGTGCCACTGCACTTTAGCCTGGGTGACAAAGTAAGACTCTGACTCAAAAAAAAAAAAAAAAAAAAGGAAAAGAAAATGACCAGGACAATAATGCTTTCTTCAAAGGGTAGCTGGGTGGCTCCAAGAAACACACCTAAGGAATTTGACTAGCCTGAACTGGGCACTCGTATGCACCAGGTACTAACTAAGCTCGTTACATGAATGATTTCATGTAATGCTAAAGACAGTCTCATAAGGGAGGTACTTTAAGTAGCCACATTTTATAAAAATGGAACTTGAAGTCTAGAAAGGTTAAATAACATACTCAAAATCACATTACTAGTAGATACAAAAGTCAGGGTTCAAATCAGGTCTGTCTGATTTCAGAGCTCCCACCTTCAACCACATGCTAACTTCCTCCGTATGGAGGTGCCTCAACAAGCAGTACGGAGAGGAGCTGTCTGCACTGGTGGCAGGATGGGACTGACTGAAATGAGACTAGGAACATCATCCTTAAGTCCTCTGTGCCTTAATGACACAGCTTGCCGGACCAGCTTTCGCCTACTAGAGGTGGTCTGTTCTGCTATCCTGGTAGAATCGTTTAGCTTTTCCTCTGGATGGTCGCGTCCAGGTCCCCTGAGCAGGGTGACTCTCATCCTCGTCCCCTTTCCATGGGATCTCTTGCCTTTCGTCTTCCTGGCTACTCCCTTCCACCAACAATCGAGTTTTTCCCACCTACCCCGGGCTGGTCTCTACTTAGAATGGGGCGTTCTTTGGTTCCCCTCTGGCGGCCAAACTGGCCTGTCCCCCCATCGTCCTGGCAGAACGAACTCGCCCCGCCCGGGTCCCCTCCAAAGTCCCTCCCGCCCTCCGGCGCCGCTCACAGGGTCCTTGGCCACGGTGAAGAGGAGGTCTCCCTCGCGGTTATACTTGATCTGTGTAATGGACCGCTCATGGCCCTGCAGCAGGATCGGCTTCTGTGGGGACAGGACGGGAGCGTCAGTGCCCGGGGTCGGGCCCTCGCCCAGTCCAGGACCCCCACCGCAACACCCCAGCTCCATGGAACTCACCATCCCGGCGGTGACGCGAGGAAAGCGGCAACGTGAGTAGGACCGGAAAGAGCTTTGGTGCCACTTCCGGACCATGGTCTCCGCCCCTTCGCTCCCGGAAGTAGAAGACAGCGGCGTTGCCATGGCGGCGTCTCTCGGTGGGTAGCCGGCCCCGCCCCGCGATGGATTTCTCGACCCTCGCCCGGAGTTCATTTCCTGCTTGGTCTCCACCCCTTAACCCCGACCCCTGCTACAGCCTCAGACCCCGGGCTGCCGGATTCATCTCCCTGGCGTCCCGGAGCCCGTCCTGCCTCCCAGTCCCCGCCGGGGCGCCGGAGAGCGAGGGAGGGAAGTGGGGACCGCCCACTGGGGCTAGGAGGCCGGGGCAGGACCGGGCCAGGAGGCCAGAGACAGGCCGGACAGGGCAGGCGGCCGTTTGGGGGTGGGGGTGAGGGTGAGGGTGACTCGAATCATCCGTCTGCATTCAGGGCAGGTGCTGGTTCTGGTGCTGGTGGCCGCTCTGTGGGGTGGCACGCAGCCGCTGCTGAAGCGGGCGTCCGCCGGCCTGCAGCATGTTCATGAGCCGACCTGGGCCCGGCAGTTGCTCCAGGAGATGAAGACCCTCTTCTTGAATACTGAGGTGCGTCTGTGAAAGACCCCTCTCTCGGGGGATGTAGCTGCTAAGAATTTGGTCTCTAGAGTCCACCAGATCTGGGTCAGAACCTGGAACCCACCACTTATTAGAAACTCTTGGATGAGTCATTTGTCCTTCTGGAGCCTCAGTTTCATCTTCTGTAAAATGGGAATGACAGTGATTACCGTATTATGGGGCAGTTATGAGAATTGAGGAGAGACACATAAAGCACTTAATATTGGACCTAGTACATAATAAATACTCAATCTGAGGCTGCTAGTAATAGTCTATCACCGTGATCCCTCCAATTCTAAAAGGCAGCTATTGTAAACCTTTCCAGCTTGGGGCTTAAATTGGCCCTGAGGGGGAGGATGGGAGGGTATGGAGAACTGCCTCTGACCTTGAGAAAGACAAGACATGGACACAACCACTACTTAGGGTCAAGGGCTACGAGAGAGGTACAGATATAGTGTTGTGTGAGTTCGGAGGAGGGAGGTTGGATTGGGGAATTTGGAGGCTTCCTGGGGTAGGTGCCATCAGCGCTCAAGGCCTTGCAGGATGTGGAGGATGGGGACTAGCAGACCTGAGGGAGAGGTCCCTTAGGGCAAAGGCATGGAGTTCAGCTTGTTTCCCTCTTTGCTCTGGAAGAGTCCTCCTTAGAGGGCTTATTATTCTCTGGGTCTTTATAACCATCCACCCCTCCAAGGAAAGGCATAAAACAGAAACGTAAGGAAGGCAGTGCTACTCAGTCAAGCCATTGCGCTGATGGCAGGTTTCTCCTGTTTCTAGTACCTGATGCCTTTTCTCCTCAACCAGTGTGGCTCCCTTCTCTACTACCTCACCTTGGCATCAACAGGTGAGTCCTGCCTTGGAACTGTTCTGCTTAGTGGTGGATGCCACCTGGAAGAGTAATTTTGGGGGTAGAACCCGAAATACCTTTTTTCCATCAGCTGGCTGTCTCGGTTCCCTCTTGGTACCCTCACTGAGCAGTAGAGGCACTGTGGGCTGGGCATGAGTATGTTGCTAGGCACTGGGGTTGATTTGGAGCCTGGCGGTCTTGTGTGGCAGCAGAGGAAGAAGGAAGGTTTATTTTGCTGTGCCAAGTGCTGGCTTGAGCACTCTTTATTCCACTCCATTTTACCTACCTCACCTTGAAACAAGGCTCCCGTTTGAGCCTTGGTTTTCAATTGACATCGTAGTGTTGTGAAGATTAACTTTTTCTTTTTTTGAGTTAGATTCTTACTCTGTTGCCCAGGCTGGAGTGCAGTGGCACACTCATGGCCACCCCAACATCAACCTACTGAGCTCTGGCGATCCTTCCACCTCAGCCTTCCAAGTAGCTGGAACTACAGGCATGTGCTACCATGCC